TGTGAAAACAAAGACGGGCCAGTCCACAGCTAAGTGCTTTTTTGTTGTTGTTCTTGATGGTTTTTTGTGGGTGTTGACTTGAAAGGCTTTTTGCATCTGAGATGGAAAAATGAGCGGATGGGCAGGAAGATGGGGGGAAAGGAAATACACAAGTGTTGAACCTCATGAATAACACATGAGGTTTATTGGACTTGCTTATAAATTTTAACCCCAGTCTGTCATGTACATTGACAGGGTCCTTATTTGGAAAACTCCCAGAATTTCCACAGGAGTATTTTTCAAATGTATGAAGAATAAAATGCTACAATTATTTCTCATTCATATTCAGTGAAAATGCTGCATATCTGTATTTTCAAGAAGACATATTTGTGATTATTTATGTAAACATTACTGGCATCCCTGACTCTTTAGTTTGTGAAAACATTCATGCGAGTTGCTAAAAGCATGAACAGGAAATAAGTTAAGGCAATACTGTTAGAAGACACTGTGGAAGGACTTTGGAAAGAGGAATGCATGATTAAAGAGGACAAACTGAAGGTGTATGTAATTTAAGAGTAAAGTCAAAAGAGCTGGCAGCAAGGATGAGGAGATGTGTGTAACACTAAGCAGCTGGATGAAGTAAAAGAAGCTGGGAAAGAAGGAATGATAAAAAAAAAAGATACGCTTAAGACTCAGGCGATATAAGTTGCATGTGAAAATAGAATTTCAAAAAATATTATCAAGAAAAATTGGAGAGGATGTGGAAAATGAAGGGCACATATAGCAAAGATAAAGGTGGCGTTTTGAAGGAACTACAGAAGGCCTGCAGAGAAGGTGAGAAAAGATGGGACTGCAGAGACACTAAGGTGTGAAGGGGTAAACAAAGATGAGAAAAGAAAGAAAATAATACACAGGAAAGTGGGAGAATCCTTACGAAGCAAATAGCAACTAATCCGAACAAACCAGAAGAGAACTGAAAATGATGACAGAGTGGAGAGGAAGAGCTAGAGGGCAAATATAGTTCACAGAGAGACTGAAGAAAAGAAAATGAGACAGAGAGAAATTCTGAGAAGGTGCAGTCATCAGTATAATGAGTCCAAGCAGGAGAGAAGAATTAATGAGGGTGGCACTGTTTTGCATTAAGTAAACTAGAAGCGAGCTAATGAAAACATTTAATGCACAAGCTCAAGGCTGCCCAACAGGAATGCTGGGGGTGGGGCGTATGTTCTTGTCATAAATTACACTGATATTGTGATGCCTTGTATTTGACTGTATCACATAATGTTGAATTATAGCACTGTTTTCAAAAACTTAATATGCTGGTATCATATTATGGTGTATTGTGCTCTACAATTCTAAAAATTGATCTGATAGAGCTGGCTAGAGGACAGACGTGACAGCAATCACGCTGAATGCGGTCAGCTCAGGGAGATTATCAGGGAGGTGACCTGTGCCCCAGTATTCATATGTTAAAACAGGCCAAGAAGTTCAGCAATGACTCATAGATAATGCAAGAAGTCAATCTTAATTTATAGCCGTCATCTTTTTTTCATGACATGACACAAAATTGGCTGATTTTTTTCCTCACCAGGTCGTAAAAACAAACAAACAAAAAAAAAACCAAACCAAAACAAAAATAAACAGTACTTTGCTCTTTGTAAAACTGCAAAAACATCAGAACCATACATCCCTAGAGGAGCCATTTAAAAATGTAGATTGCCACAGTACTCATGATATAAAACAACTTTAATTGTGACTGATAGTTTTGTTTTTAATTTTAAAATAATTTTAGAATGAACAAATGTGGTAATTATCTATGGACAGCATCTTTTAAAGCTTGAATTGTTTAAATGTATGTATTAATTGCTTGTAAATAGGGTGAACTACAGTTTATTACAGTTAATTCACTGCAGCCATTACATTATTATGTCATCTCTTTTCTTTAATGTTTATTTTGTTTATGACTGCTGTATTTATTTTGAAAATGTGATTAACTTTGTTTATACAGTTTGGGGCCTACCTTACCTTTATATATCATTTCTCTGAGTTATCTCAGTAAAAGTCGGTCATTACAAATTACACGGTCATTTAACACAAATATGAAATGAACATCTAATTCCACATAATGCCTAATTTTAAAATCAGGTTTCCACTGTTAAATCGCATCATAGTACAATTTAGGGCAACCTCGGCACAGTAGCATGTGGAACCTGTCATTGGATGCCAATAAGAGGGGAAAGCCCTGGCCATCAGGCAGGGCAATCCCAACCCTGCACTCCCCTGGGGTACCATCCAGTGTCACATTCAGAGTCCATTCATTGCAACCTACACAGTGCTTTAATCAAAATAATGATGCATATAAATATTATTGTGGCAGTATTTAAAAAATAGGGCAACACTGAACATTGTAAGTCTAAGTGTTATTGCCACGACTTAAAAAATATCTATGGCTACTATTCTGGTTAGTATCCGTCCTTCTCGCTACCTTGTGCTCAGTGGTGGAAGAAGTACTCAGATCTTTTACTTAAGTAAAAGTAGCGATACAACAGTGTAACTAATACTCTGTTGCAAGTAAAAGACCTGCATGCAAAATATTACTTAAGTAAAAGTACAAAAGTATTAGCATCAAAGCAAAAAGTACTAAAAGTAGTCATTATGTGGAACGGCACATTTCACATTCCTATATATTATATTATTGCCTTATAATTATTGATGCATTATTGTTTACATCACACTTAATGTTGCAGCTGGTAAAGGAGGAGCTAGTTTTAACTATCTTATACACATTTAATTTGAATTACTGCTGGGTAGCTTGTGAATTTTCCACCATAGATTAATGAGGTCTTATAATTATACTGTATTTGTGTTAATCTGGTTATGAAAAGTCAAATGAATGTAGCGGAGTAAAAAGTACAATATCTGCCTCTAAAATGCAGTGATGTCAAAGTATAAAGTAACAGAAAATGAAAATACTCAAGTAAAGTACAGACACCTCAAAACTGCACTAAAGACAGTACTTGAGTAAATGTGCTTAAATACTTTATACTACTGCTTGTGCTTTTATTCTCTATCATATGAACAAGTAGATGACCCTGAATAAACACGAAGCCATTTCGCCTCTGAAGATCTCAGCGGTCCCGTCCGCCTCGCCGCTACTGTACTTGTACATAGTGCGCGCTACCGTCTCTATTGCGCATGACTGTACGTCGTAATATGAAGTAGGCCTCCTGTTTTTCTCCCCAATCCGGAGTCCTCCTGGCCCCCACCACCTCGATGCAACGTTCAAGTAAGCAAAACACGAAGGCTGCTGTCGAGTATTCGCGAAGGTAAGGATTTGGAATGCATATCCAAGGCCAGCGGTGGTTGCAGGTTGTCAAATAGCACGGCTCCCGTGGTCGGGTACACGGTGTCTTTTAGCGTGCGGAAGCGGACGGTCTGCATAGGAGGCTTCGGGACTGTTTCCGCACGCTCGAGGTAGAGCAAGGCCCAGTGACCCACATTCGGAGCAGCCACTGTCTATGTGAATGCGTGGGCGAGCGTGTGCGCGGAACCCTCTCAATGCGTGTGCACGTTTGTGCCAAGGACCGTGTGTATGTGTGTGTATGTATGTGTGTGTGTGTGTGTGTGTATACATATATCTGCCGCGAAAATGTTTATACCATCGCTGATTTGAGACATTTCTCGGCCAACGACATTTATGTTCTTGTCGGATTTTTCGAGGATCTTGTCCCGCTCTGGTTAAGGCTCATTCCGTTCCTGGTGTTTGGGGACGAACGGTAATATTTGAGAGATTATTTTGTCTTCAATGTCAGTTGTTGCGTGACAGCTTGAGGCTCGGCGCCCGCTTGCTTTGATAGACTGGCATTCCTCTTGTTTATTCCACAGACGTGAAATGCTTTAACTGTCGTAACTGTGCCATTCAGTGTTTGTGAGCGTATCGGGAAGAAACGCGGATAGTAAGAGCACTATGTCTGACTTAAATGGACAGTTTTTTGGCAGCAAGCTTGGTTAGCTTGCTAGCTAGCTATATGGGTTGCTCTCATTCGGTTGTATAACGAACACCTGTGGCACTGAAAGGTACATTAAAACGTTACTGTGCCATTGTGATATCTTATTGTTGTTTTGGTCTACATAGTCTCCATTGGGCTGTGTTGATGGGTTCACTGTTTATTCACTGGCAGTGGTGCACAGTGGGTTGCATCGCCCGATGAAGAAGCCCTCAGGAAAACATGATTGTAGGTCAGGCACTACTTCACACAGCAGTAGCTGACCCGGGACCACCACAGGGTCACTAAGATTGTTCAACGAAATTCTTACATTTCCAGCTAACATTTGTACAGTTGGAGAATTTAGACAGTCACATCTTACAGGAGGATCTTAGAGTTCACTGGGACACAATGAGATTTGAGTTTTCTGGTGTCCAGCTGGTGTCAGCGACTATTCCACAAGTTTGGGAACAGAAATGAATGACTGTTCAGCAAGAAATCGCATGTGTATTCACCCACAGTGCTGAAATGTAGAGCTGCAACAATTAGTTGATTGGCCAGATGTCAGGAAATTAATCTGCAGCTACTTTGATAATTGAATAAAATGGCAAACACCTTTGGGTTCCAGCTACTCAAATGTAAAATGTGGATTGATTGCCAAATAAAATAGGGGTTTTTGGAGTGTGGATCATTAAAAACGAGCCTTCTGAGAATGTAATCTTGGACTCTGGGAAATTGCAAAGGCTCTGAGAAACTGATGGACATTTTTGGATAATTTATAGACAGAACATTTATTAATATATTGTTTGCTGGTTGCATGCCCAATTTCCTGCTTTTATTTACTTATTTTCTATTTGCATCAGCACATATTTACAGTGAACACAGGGTGAGTAGAGAGGTTTGTAATGGAGTCTGTGGATTTTGTGTGTGTGTGTGTGTGTGTGTGTGTGTGTTGCAGATAAGGTCTGGTTTACATGAAGATTTGTCTGTGCCTGCAAGAAGGGGATATAAAAGTGCTAGCTTTTCCTGCAAAGAGACATTCCAGAAAGTAAGTTGCAAAAATTTCATCACAGTTTTTTCATAACTTGGTCACTGTGCTTCTCAAGTCAAGAAATAGTTATTAAAGCATAATAACTGATTAGTTTGAGGTTTTCTGTCCTGCATTATTATGTTATTCAGACTCTAAATACTTTGTGGTCCATAAAGCTGGAATTTCAGCAACTTTCAACAGTCTAAATATATAAAAATCTGTTTAATTATTTATTTGTTAATTCATTTATTAGTAAGTTGTATAGAAATAATGTACTAGCCATAAAACCGTCACTACATGGGGGGTCTAATGTAATATATGCTAAATGACACTGAAATTGGTAAAAACAAACACATTCTGATAAATCAGTAAATGGTGATCTGCTGTGCTCTTTGAAAACCTGTTGGTACAACGTTATGTTTTCCTTTGGTCTGCTGCATCTCATGATAAAATACCAACTTAATCAGTTGTTTATAAAAGTGAGCTCTTCTTGATTTAATGCACACTATTTGATTGTACATGTGGAATAGCAGGTTAGGAAACAGGGTAGAGAGAGATTTTCCAATAATTACAAAATAGTAGAATGCATCGATGGCAATTTTCTTTATTTATTTACTTAAAGTCTAATGTGCCAGTTTTCTCTTGTTTTGTAGGGAAGGGCTATATTGAAATTCAATATATCATGATACAGAAATGTCACAAAATATATCACTTTGTATAGTGATGCATATTGTGTGGTCTCCATCAGCAGCAACTTCATATTTTTTTGTAAATAAATAGCCGAACAGAAAATGAGTCACTATATCTGGTTGTTGTTTACATAATCAGAGCAGTGCTCGAAAAGGGGAACAAAGAGGACTACGTTTCAAGTATTCCACAGCTAGTCATACATTGTCATTGAATTTTTAATTGTATCGCGATTGAGTTGAATCGTAGAAGAAAAAGTCTTATTATCCCATCCATTTCCCTTTGTAATTGATAGTATACACAAACAGTTTTGTAACCCTTTCTTTAATGAAAACTTAAATTAAAAAAAACAACAACAACATTTTATTAAATTTTCCATCTTTCTTGAACTCTCACTCAATTAACTTTAACATATAAAAATGCTCCAGGCTATAGGACAGTCCTTTTTTTTTCCTTTTTTTTAAAACAATCCCCCAACTCAAAATGAAGTACAATATTTGTATTTCTCCAAACGTAAACAGGTGCAGCAGGTGGCCTAATAGAAACAGAAGAGTGTCTGTTACATCAGTCCTACTGAACATGCAGTTCCTTTTAAAGTGTGTATAGGTTTCACAATGGGGTGGATACACTCTACTTATACATGCCTTTTAGGTGTAGCCAGTAATTCCCTCACTGTGTACTATTGGTTAGAGTTTATGACTAATTTTCCCTTCTCCAAAATGTCTTTGTAGGCTCCTCTGTGTGTTATTTGCACACTAAGCGCTTCCAATGAGTAAGTGAATATGCACCTGGTATGAGTGCGGGGTGCACACGGGATGTTACGTGCTGCACACACTATGCTTTCGGTCTGTGCCACTGTGTGCATCATATGCACCATTGTGCTTGTAAATTTGACCACAGAATCAGATTTTTCAGAGTGATCGGCTGGTCACCGGTCATGGCTGCTCAAGCTAAAAACTGGCCAATTCCGATCTCTGATTGATTGGTGAATCTTTCCAAAGCAGGATTGCAATAAATGAAAACAAATCACTTAATTTTGACATTCAAATATTGGGGTGAGAGATTTCTCAGAAAATATCAACAAAATTAGCTTTTGAATTTTTCTTATATGAAGGTAAATTACATAACCAGAAGTCAGGTTTCTTCACTACCTCCTTAGCACTAAAGACATAAAATTGATGAAAGCTGCCCCCAGAATGACCCAGTGACCTCACATGACCTCAGTTTTTCACTCTGATTTCTCCCGCAGGTTTGGTTGACCACCATGTCTTTCCTGTTGTCTGGTGACCTTCCGTGACCCCTATGACCTCAGCGCCACTTTTTATTCCAGACTCAGCTTTGACCCCGAACCCTTCACACAACCCTCTGAGAGGTTAACCGACAGCGTGCATAAGTTGCAGTGGGGTGAGAAGTGACTAAACACAGATGCGCACAAAGCTGTGTCGTTACAGACTTAAATGAGATCATGAAAGAGTTTAAAGCTCACTCATGTAGATCGCTCTTCAACTGAGTGTATCTAATTACACTGTATTCAGATGTACAGTACAGTATGTCCCCTACCACATGCTGCAGCATATGTTAGACTGTTCTACTGATCACAAACCTGACATTTGTGTTCTGATTCAAGACACAGTTAACACTAGAAATATTAGTTATTATTGAAGTATAAAGGAAGCCGTTATAGTAAACCAGTTGTCTGAACGTTATGGCTGTACTTATAATTCTGATTAGCATTGGAGAATGACTTTCTCGGTGAAAAACATAACATGAGTGTCCAGTTACAAACACATACAGGAATACTTTTTATTATAGCGTGTATCCACCAGGAATTAGTTTACATATTTCTGTAGACTTGGCCTGATCTAATTTTAGGCCGCATCAGTTAATCTGTTTGTCAGTATGAGTGTCTTTTGTGTGTGTGCATGCAATTTTAATTGTGTTACAATGGAAGCAACTAATTAGGGGTTTGAATTTGATTTGATTTTATTATAAGGACATTATTTTCAGGTTCTTTCTCTGGTGCACTGTGTGTGAAATCAGTCACCCTTGATTTCAGTCCTCTGGCTTGTGATATCAATTGAATTAAGTGGCAGTTAAGGTAATATAATACTTGTTTTTCTGTCTCTCCAGGTGGTCTTCCAAATGCCTACCTCACGCCTAAAGAGCAATTCACTGCAGCCACAGCCCTGATCAGCATACACCATGACATCAAGCATGGGGTATGCTGCACAACAACCATGCACAACCAAAAAACACACACTGTGCTCACTTTATTAGCTAAATCTGTATAAGCTAGCACAATTCAGTACAACTACTCTACCTTAAATGTAATGTTTTGACACATTTTATGTGTAAATTATGTCTGTTGGTGAGATCATAGTTAAAGTTGCTGTTGTATTGAATGTTTAAATTTTTTTCTCCTCCTTATGTACATACATGAGGGGAGCAGAATATTAGGAACACCATTACAAACTGTAACCTCAGTGATATATTTAGATCAATACCTCTATGACACTGTCAGCAAAAACAGAACATTGCCAGCATCATAAAAGTAGCAAAATAAATAAATATTGCATGCAACAATAAACTTTTGACAGACTTTCTTGCCTTACTGGGCATGAAATCGAACACATTTTAAAGGTATTACATAGCAGTTTTAAACAACATCAATCAGCACCAGGTTTTTTATTTGACTTATTTTATTTGACCTAACTTAATTGAATCTTATAACGAACTTGCGTTGTTAAAATGAGGAATCACTTGTAACCTTCTTTCTCTTTTTTTGTATAGCCCAAAAATAATCTTGCTCCGTCATTAGCTTTTATTAACAATGCATATCTGCGTTTAGACTGGAAGTAAACATCCACACACAGGAAAGCACAAAGTGAGTTGGGAAAAACTCTAAATATTTTTTTTCCTTCCCCTGTAGGGATGATTGTAGCATCTTTGATGGGTTGATGGAAGAAGATGAAAAGGACAAAGCGAAACGGTAAAACACCACATGGTATTTAATGGATTGTGTCTTGACCAGACCTACATTTGTAGATGAGAATGAATAAGGTTTTAAGTCCTGTAGAGAATAATCATTTTGGACAAAAACAGAGCAAAAAATCTCAAAAAGTTATGACTGCATAACATTTAGAATCTCATTTGTCACTGTGAATTTGATTGTAGCGTGTCCCGTAACAAGTCCGAGAAGAAACGGAGAGACCAGTTCAATGTCCTCATCAAGGAACTTGGCACAATGTTACCAGGCAACACCAGGAAGATGGACAAGTCCACCATCCTGCAGAAAAGCATCGACTTCCTATGTAAACACAAAGGTCAGAGGTTTCTAGCAACCTTACCTCACTTCCTGTGTTTGTCTTGAACAAATCACAGAGTGGACATTTCTTCTTCTATTTATAGGTTTATCATTAGGCTCGTTCAAGATGAACTGTGCCTCACGCAGAAAGGGAATGAGAACAGGTGGTGGCAGCAGAGGGCAGAAAAAGCAGGAGTGAGTGTGGATATGTGTGGTTGTCTGTCTCTAAGTGTCAGCCCTGTGATAGACTGGTAACCTGTCGAGGGTGTACCCTGCCTCTTGTCCTATGTCAGCTGGGATTGGCTCCCCGTGACCCTATTCAGGATAAGCGGTATAGATAATGGATGGATGGACATTATTCAGTCATCAAAATACAGTAGTGACATAAAAAACGTCTTCATTATTGATCTCTCTAATAGACTGTTGGGGCTTCACATCGGTGCAGATGTTCTTTTAGGAATCTTCACATCCTATATACTGTAGGTTTTTGTGCCACTTACACATCAAGAATGAAATCGGTGATGTTCATATTGTCCTCTGATTAATACTATCCAATGGCATTTTTCCATTAGTGCGGGTCAGCCCACTTTTATCACGCAGAGCCAGGCAGGCACAGGTTGACCTTCATTTCCATCTGTTTCTAATAGCAAGGGGTTAATCATTCTGAGTGGGCCCTGCTTCCACCCAGGACTGAGTGGGGCCGAGCTCTGCCTTCAACAGAGTTGGCTCAGACGCGATTGGCTGAAATGTTGCACCAGAGGAAAGTCCTTACATCCAACATTCACTTTTTATCTGTAATTTCACTGCAGAAAGATTTGAAAATGAAGTTTCTCACTTGATTGTCTGATGAGGGGTTAATATAATGCCTAGTGCCACACCCACAGCGCAAATTATGTGTTTTATTGTGCAGTGGAAACACAACCGACTGACTCGGGAGCAGTTTAGCATGACTCTGCCTTGTACACCTCAGCTCGGCAGGAGAGGTCAAAAAAAAAAAAGCCAATAGATTGTTTGCTCATACAATCTGTATTATAAAATGACTGTACAATGTTTATTCTGTTAACAGAATTCATGTACACAGTGCAAAATTAGGATTATTAAATGTTAATCTCTCCAATTATGCAAAAAAAGTTTCTAAAAGACATATTGTTAATCCAGTATCTAAACCAATCAGCTTTTAAAAACGGATGAGAACAAGGTGTTTTTCATGATGCCCTGAGCAACTGCAGCGCCTGGCTCCAAAAACTGCAGCCTCTTGTGATATTATCATTACCTGTATTTGCATGATGCCAGAGCATGTTGGGATTAGTTTGGACGGAAAACTAACTGGCGTGCCTCTGATTGATTCTCAGCAGGCCTGAATCTTGAACGAGCCTGTTCACTAGTGTGCACACTGTTGTCAGTGCTTGTTTACACTCAGTCATAGAGCCTGTCAAATGGAACATGTTTTTACTAATTACTAGATATGGGTACTATGTAAAGCACTTCAGTTAATTAATCTTTTGCCTGTGTATTGTTGACATAATATATCACCATATTATCCTAGTTGATCACCACCTGAACACTAAGATTATTTTGTGCTTGGGTTACTACTCCTTGGGACCGTTTCATATTGTTGTGCATAATTAGTTATCACTCTGAGCTTTGAACTGTCAATACATTTTTTTTTACCGTGTTATTGCCTGCTTTGGTTTGAGTTGTCTTATTTATTTCATCATGTTTTCCTCACTTGACTGTTTTAGTCAAAGAACTGTATTTAGTCTTCTTAAAATTTCAATTCCTTTCTCACTCTTCCATCAGAGATTGCAGCCCAGTCGGAGTCGAGTGAGATCAGGCAGGACTGGAAGCCTCCATTTCTCAGCAATGAAGAGTTTACTCAGCTCATGCTGGAGGTCAGAAAGCTCACGTTTTGTACTGTAGTCCTGCCCCTTTGCAGTAGGTGGCAACAGAGGTGTTACATCCACCGTTATGTTACTGCCATGTACGAGCGATCATATCTCGTTCACCTCAACAATTACACATAGATTTGAATACATTTCTTTTTGTACAAGCTGCTCTATTATTTAGTTTTAAATCTCCTGATTTAAACAAAGTCAAAGTCATAACTTTATTTTTTTTTTTTTTACCTGTTGTAGAACAACATTTCTCCTTGTCTTTTCCTTCATTATCAGGCTCTGGATGGGTTCTTTATAGCAATAATGACTGATGGGAACATCCTTTATGTCTCTGAGAGTGTTACCTCACTACTAGAACACCTACCGGTGAGAAACACTCGTTCTTTCTTTAGTCCTACTGTGTATTACTCAGCCACTGTATTGCAGAACAAGCTATTACAGGATCAGATTGAACACGTCAGGGTGACCTGTGTGTTCTGAGTGGGGTTTGGTCTTTCTTCTGATTTTTGTGTGTGTGTTCTCATGCATGCATGTATGTGTTTCACTAGGCGGACTTGGTGGACCAGAACCTTTTAAACTTCCTGCCAGTTGGGGAACACTCCGATGTGTACAAGGCTCTGTCCACACACCCCACCGACTTAGAGAGCCTTAGCTCTGATTATCTGAAGAGTCAGTAACACCCAGTCATTTTACAGCATGCTTCACATTTCTTTCAACTTTATCCAGTAGAAATGTCTTGTAATAAGTACTGTGATCAACATATGCTTCTATGAACAGGATGCATAGCTTGGGACTGTATTGTATAATTAAAAATCAGAGAATTGCGTGTGTTGACCTTAGTTTACAAAGAAAATTAGGCAGAACAAGGACAATTAAAGCCCCATGTTTATCCCATTGAGTATAAAAAAACATTGTACATATCTCTGACAAAAATTAAACATGCTTAAAGGTAGTATATGGTTTTCATATCACTACATCTTCTCCAACCGGAACAACTAAACAAAGAGCTATAGTTGATTCTTACTGCAGTGGTTCAGCAACATACAGGAACTCGTCAACATCTAACACGTCTTCCAACTCTGTGAAACAAACAGATATTGGATACTAGGGACCATGTGTCTTTTTCTTGATACAATTTGATGCACGATATTGTGTGTATGATTCGGTTCTATCACGATACAATTAAAAATTCAATCACAACAATGTGTGACAAGCTGCAGAATACTTGTACTTTATTTCTCTTCCCCCCCCCTTTTTAGCACTGGTTTGATTATGTAAGGAACAGCCAGGTATATTGACTTGAATTTTGTTAGGCTAAGTTGCTAGTGTTTGGAGGCCAAATGATATATATTGCTAGACAAAACGATACATATTGTGCCATTTTTATATTGATATATTGAATGTGAATATATTTTCCCCATCCCTACTGTATACTGCAGTATTTGTATTTTCAGTACCCCTTTTCCCTTCATTTTTCTGTTTCTAGGTAAAAATCACATGGAGTTCTGCTGCCATATACTACGAGGGGCCATTGACCCAAAAGAAGACCCCGTCTACGAATATGTTAAGTTCATTGGTAACTTCAAGTCACTCAACAATGGTAGGTCACTTATATGTGTTATTGCATGAGAAATTTTACATCAGCTAAATAACATTAATGTTAAGTGACAATCTCCTAAAAGTTAAAATATTCATCTCTTTAATATTTTCCCTAACAAACATATGTTCATGGGAAAGTGCACCAGTACAAAGTAACAAGCATGTCTGTACGTCGAGCCCATCTTAAATAGAGCAACAAAGATTATCAAAAGGACAATGCATGTATTTTTCAAAGTGTCATAAGTCACTCACCTTGCGTGTGGTCATTCTGTGCTTTACCGGTGAAGCCACACACACCCACACTGTACACCCTGTGACTTTGTTCTCTGTTGCGTAGTTCCTAATGTGACGAGGAACGGTCTGGCAGGAGTATTACAGCGATCACTTCAACCTGCATTTGATGACCAGGTGTGCTTTGTAGCCACGGTCCGGCTGGCCAAACCACAGTTTATTAAGGTACACTGCAAACACACACACACTCAAACATGCAGGCAACAGTGTTTCTGCTGGTAACATTTTTTTGGTGGTACAACTCCAAAATCTTTGCTGCCATGGCAAAAAAAAAAAAAAATCTATCCAAATAATCTAGTGTCTAAGTGACTTGCCAGAGAGCCCATAGCGAGTACAACTAATAGAACTTCATTCTATCAAATATGTCTCCAGACTCCAGCACATACATGGAACTATTGCTGTCCAGCTCATTTCTGCTGACAGTCATTCTAATGAAGGCGATTTGTCCTCTGTCCTTGCTCATCAGGAGCTGATGACTGACAGCTTTCAATCCATATACTGTAGCTGTAGCTATTAATATGACTATAATATAATTGTTATGTGTTTGTTCACTTCCATAGAGAGAGAGGAAACATGGATTAGGAATGAAAGATAGAGCTCAGAGAGGGACAGATGAGTAGACAGGAGGTAGGACCCAAGTGTTCAGGCTGAGTACATCATGGGGGGGACTTTGCTGCCACGCCAAACGTTTTGATCCACAGGAAACACTGCAAATAATATCACACTGAGTCATTAATTTATGATTATGTTAGTATTCCTTCTGTCTAATTCACTGTTGATTTTGCTTTTATGTTCATAGGAGATGTGCACAGTGGAAGAGCCCAATGAAGAATTCACCTCCAGGCACAGTTTAGAATGGAAGTTCCTCTTCTTGGACCACAGGTACACATAGCATGCAAACACACACATTTAATTGTGCATTGCTCCTTAAGCTGCCAGTGTGTACTTCATCAGAAATTCTTGTCAGATGGTAGAAAAGCTTCGGAAACCCCCTCCTCATAGCCTTTCAGACAGCAGATTTAGTGTGTGTGTGTGTGTGGGGGGGGGGGGGGGGGGGTTGGTTTT